AATGGTCATGAGAATTTGCATAATTATGATTAAGGAACTGACCTCCCAGCCCATTGTTCCTTCAGTGGGCTGGTTTCAGTCATTATGCAAATGTACTGTTTATAAGGTTGGGGAAACCTGCAGTCAGCTGAGACTGAAGAAGTCACCTGGATGAGTGACGAAACATTTCTCCCACAAAACGCTGCGTCCAGATGAACAGAATCAACTTTTAGAGGTCTCATTTCAGTTGTCTAAATGCACTTTATACTGTAAAGTAAAAAGCCTACAATAAACATTCATTCTTTACAGTGGCAGCAGTTGGCTATTGTCTCTGAAAACAGGGTTAACTGGGCGCGCCCCTTATTCCACTGAAAACTGTAGCACATCTTAATTTCATAGCCTCGTCTGCATTCGATTAAAAATCACTTCAAGCTGAGTGGCCTGCAGCTTTATCTGGCTGGGTGCACATGGGCATTATGGATAAATCCCTGGTTTTTAACAGGAGGTTAAAATGTCACTGGCTCTGCTTTCAGTATTCTGAGATCAGTTACAATCTGCTTTTTGCATGGAAACAGGACTAGCATTAGCAATAAACATGGTTCTTGTCATCGTGATAGATAAGTTACAATGTTGATTCTTAGGACTCTTTAGCACATGAATAAGGAAAGCCTTGACAGCAGACAGTGGGACTCCTGCCATATTCTGTTTAACCACACAGGCAAGTTGAACAGTTACAGGTGCAGCTGGTATTTTCTTTTTAATATATTTAAATTATCTTTGTAAATCAAGTTGCAGGCCTGGTTTTCTGAACTCATTAATGATTATTTTGAGATATTTGGCCCTCACAGGACAGGCACCATACAAACATATGCTTTTAAAGATGATGATGGATTAGTGTAGATTCAAAAGAGCAAAGTTTTTAAAAATCAGCTCTGGTTTAATTATCTGTAGCAACACTATGAGTCCATACAACACTGAAGGGGAAACATTTTGGCAAAATAAATACTTGTACATGTGTGCATTTAGGTAGCAATACAGTTCTATCTGTGCTGAGGTATTTTGACAGTGATCTGTTATTATAAATTCTAGTGCCATCCAATAATTAGACATAGTGCATGAATGTAGATTGTGCCTGACTTTTTGACTGCACTCCTTTCTGAGTGTATCCAGTATGTAAATATAAATGATTACCTGGCACAATGGTCTGCTGTAAGGTGGAGTTATGACGTCCCAGCTTGTTCTGGGCTTCACAGTAATAACGCCCACTGTGTTCAGGTCTGAACTTGGTGACGGTGAAGTTCTGTCCAAATGCTTTTGGTAAATTTTCATCCTCCTTGTACCAGGTGTAGTTAGCTGCTGGGTTAGCATCACTGCTACAGGTCAGAGTGACTGAACTGCCCTCCACTATCTCAGCAGAGGGACTCACTGACACAGAGGGAAGCTTTGGAGCATCTGGAGGAGAAATAAGGACAATGACAACATGGTTGGTTATAAATATACTCAAGTCTTTGCAAGCTTGTCACAACGCTACAAAAATTATAAAAGGTAATATTCAGAAACCTTCTTATTTCCTTGTCAAACTTCTTATATTGTGATAAACAGACATGATTGTGCAGTAAATCTGTTTTCACTCTTCATGATGATGAATTAAGTCTTATCTCTAAAGTTGATGTTAACTGTTTAATCGAGATCAAAGAATTTAAAGCTTATAAATGTATTTTACTCACATTTCACATCAATAATTCTGCTTTCAGATCTCTTTTGTCCCAGGTCATTATCAGCTGTACAGTAATACTTTCCAGAGTCAGAGAGCAGGATGGAGCTGAAAACATGTTGGTTTTGGTAACTGAGAGGGTTGATGACATCCTCCTTGTACCAGGTGTAATTAGCTGCTGGGTTAGCATCACTGCTACAGGTCAGAGTGACTGAACTGCCCTCCACTATCTCAGCAGAGGGACTCACTGACACAGAGGGAAGCTTAGGAGCATCTGGAGGAGGAAACATAAGAATGACAACATGGTTGGTTATAAATATACTCAAGTCTTTGCAGGCTTCTCACAACAAAAATTATAAAATAATAATATGTTAGAAATCTTCCTATTTCTTTGTCAAACTTCTTATATGTTGTAATAAACAGACATGATTGTGCAGTAAATCTGTTTTCACTCTTCATGATGATGAATTAAGTCTTATCTCTAAAGTTGATGTTAACTGTTAATCGAGATCAAAGAATTTAAAGCTTATAAATGTATTTTACTCACATTTCACATCAATAATTCTGCTTTCAGATCTCTTTTGTCCCAGGTCATTATCAGCTGTACAGTAATACTTTCCAGAGTCAGAGAGCAGGATGGAGCTGAAAACATGTTGGTTTTGGTAACTGAGAGGGTTGATGACATCCTCCTTGTACCAGGTGTAACTAGCTGCTGGGTTAGCATCACTGCTACAGGTCAGAGTGACTGAACTGCCCTCCACTATCTCAGCAGAGGGACTCACTGACACAGAGGGAAGCTTTGGAGCATCTGGAGGAGGAAACATAAGAATGACGACATGGTCATAAAAAAACAAATTTAAAAAATTTATATTCTAAAAAGAAAACATTGTAAACCCCCTAAAAGAAAGGATTTTGACTAAAGTAGCATACAAACACATTCCCGTAAATAAAGAAAAATTCAATATAATTCCTTAATGAAACAAAAAGTAGTGAACTCACACACTGTTGGAGAAGGGAATGGCTCATATCCTTTCACAGCACAGTAAAGACTGTCTACAGTATCAAATGTGTTCAGCTGTAAATATTGTTTTTCTGATGAAAGTTTGTGTCCATTCCTGTACCAGATGTAGGAAGATTGATCAGGTAGCTGACAGTTGTTGTGACATGTCAGCTCTGTCCAGTTAGAATAAGAGTTTACTGTTGATCTCCTCACATGTACCTGGAGCTGTGGATCTGGGAGTAAAAAAAACAATGACATTATATCAGAAATATCTCAACATCTGCACAGATACACATGGAAATGTTTAAAGTGAATTCCAGTCAAATATTGTTTTACCTGTAACAGTCAAAGTGACTCCAGGTGATCCAGTATATTTCCCTCCTGGATCGTTTGTTATGAGCATGAACTTGTGCTCAGCTGAGTCGCTCTCTCTCAGGTCTGAGATTCTCAGAGTGCAGTCGTTGTTTTCACACTGATACTGAACTCGACCTGAATACTCTGGATCTGTTTTCAGGTCCACAGGCTCATTATCTTTGACTGTAGTAAACCAGAACATTTTCTGGATTCTTGTCTTTATGTCATTTATAGTCGATAGGTATCTGAATTTGGAGTGTATTTCTGCTGTTGATCCTTTGAAGGCGCAGACCTGAGTAGAAGTGTAAGTCACCACTGTAACACAGAGCCCATTATAGAAAAATCAGAAAGCAGACTTATTTATATTCACTTTCATAGATCTGAATTCAATTTCTAAGATTCCATTTAAACATGTTTCATAGAGAACAAGACAGAATACAGCATAATACTGTTCTTTAAAGTGAGACTGGAACCCGTCAAAAATCTCATACATGTTTGCAAAAGGTTTAAACTGAAAAAGACCCAATTACTTTTTTTTAAATTGACATTTAGTTATCACTGTACAATACCATCAACTTCAACAATTTGTCACTACATGCATTTTTCTTTTTTCTGTATTTAAACAACTAAAATATCCATACAAAAGGAATGAAAGAAGAAAAAAAGAAAAAAGAAAAAAAAGGAAAGAAAAATAGAAAATGAAGCAAAACAGAAAAAAAAAATACAAAAGGCATGTAAGGAGTGTGTTTTTGTTTCCATTAATATAACTAATATTTCCTCTAGTCTTCTAGTAGTTAACACCGTCAAAATCAAAAAATGGCCTGCGTTTTTTAATGCTAATTGGTACTTATTTTTAATTTCTTCTGATGGAATATAGTTGTACTTAAGCAATTGTGTTTTACTCATATTAACTTTATATCCCGATAGTCGACCAAAGTATTCAAATAACTGCATTAATTTAGGTAGAGAGTTTGATGGTTGACCCAAAAATATTAAAACATCATCTGCATAGCAGGCTAATTTATGCTCCTTCTCATGGATATTAATATCTTCTACTTCTTTGTTTTGCCTTATATAGTGAACCAATGGTTCCAGATATAACGTGAATAATAATGGTGAGCACGCACAGCCCTGCCTTGTTCCTCTTTGCAGCTTAATACTATTTGATAGGTAGCCATTAATTTTAATCCTTGCCATAGGGTTATCATAAAGTGCCTGTATTGTCTTAATTATTATTTCATGCAAGCCAAATCTACGCAAGACTCCATAAAGAAAGTTCCAATTAACTGAATCGAATGCTGAATCGATACTGATTACCATTGCTTCTACTTTATTCTGTCGAATATGGTTAATAATTCGTAGTGTCCGCCGTCCTCTATCTTGTATTTGGCGCTCTCGAATAAAACCTGTTTGATCATTATGAATTAGACTAGATAAGAACTTTTGTAATCGTCTAGCCATGATAAATGTAAACATCTTATAATCTGGATTAAGAACAGATATTGGTCTATATGATGCACATTCTAATTTATCTTTTCTTTTGGGATAGCAGAGATAATTGCTTCTTTCCAGCTAGAAGGTACTTGAGCCTTCTTTAAGACCCAATTCAGTGTGAGAAGCATCACTGGTATTAATTCTTCTTTTAGCTCCTTATTGCTATTCTTAGTTCCTTTTCTGTTATATCTTCAATCGAAGTTTTATTCTGTTCTTCATTCAGTACTGGTAAATCGAGAGAGTCTAAAAAACTGTTCATTTCAACTATACTACTCTCTGTCTTATTAGCATAAAGAGTCTTATAAAATGTTTCAAATGCACTCTGAACTTCTCCTAGTTTATTTTTTATTAATTTTGTCACTGGATGTTTAATTTTGTGAACTGTATTATCTGCTATTTTCTTTTTTAGTTTCCAGGCTAAAACATTCATTGCTTTAGATCCTCCCTCGTAATACCTTTGTTTAAGAAACATAAAAAAAAATTTAATTTCATATGTAGTCAAATCATTTATTTCATTTCTTGTTTTGATGATTTCCTCCAGTATATCCTGTGTTGTTTTTCTTTTATGCCTTTTCTCTAATTCTTCTAACTTATTTTGCAGCTCTTCTAATTTTTTATTTCTCATCTTTTTTTTATAAGCAGATATTGCTATAATTTTCCCTCTCAGGACAGCTTTTAAAGTATCCCACAGAATAGGAGGAGACACCTCACCATTATCATTTGTTTCCATATAGAAGTGAATCTCTTTCTTAATTTGTTCTTTGAAGTGTGGATCATTCAGTAAGCTTGAATTTAATTTCCAATTATTGAGTTTTGGTTGCAGGTTTAAATCAACGGACAGGTATACTGGTGCATGGTCGCTTAAGTCTATTGCTCCAATTTCACAAGTGTTTATTCTATCTTTATTTTCCCCAAAGGTAATAAAATAATTTATTCTTGTGTATAACAAGTGCGGTGAGGAAAAATAGGTATAATGCAAGTTTCTCCATATATCAATTAGTCCCACCTCCTTCATCAATGTATTTATATTCTTAATTAATGTTTTGGTATTCTGTGCTTTTCTATTGGAAATATCTAGCTTTGGTTATAGATGTATATTTAAATCTCCTCCACCAATTAGAAAACCTACTGTCTCTGTAACCATCAAGTCTATAATTTTCTTAAAGAAATAAATATCGCTTCCAGGGGGGGCATATATATTTAACAACGTAACTGAAAAAGACCCAATTACAATCAATATTGTGTCCAATAATGTCCCAAATGTCTGTGAATAGGTGAGAGAGGACAATAGTGGGATTATTTTAATCATAATTAAAAAATTATAATAACAATTTACAGGTGCAGGGAAAGCACTGCACCTCTTTCCTCTCCTGGCCACCTGACCATCTACCAGTATATCAAAAGCCAGGATGGTCCACTTGGTAAAATAAATCTGTTGGGCATTTTTCCTGGTCTTCAAACAATAATTCTGATTGCTACAGTGCTGGAAAGAACGGGCAGAAAAAGGACAAAACAGAGAGAATTGTAGAAAGACTGGCATCTTTTACTATGAACTTTAATCTAATCCCTAATTTGCAAGATTTTAACAACAAGCTGTAGGATGAACATATCAAGAATTGTTATTATTATGAAAAGAAACTTACCATCTACAACCAAAATAATTTCAGTGTCATATGAATCAGGAGATAAAGGGTCCCCGTAACCACACCTGTACTGTCCCGTGTCAGACTTGGTCAGATGTCTGATGGTTGCTAGAAGTTCAAACCCAGATCCTTTTGTGTATTCAATGCTGTACCTGCCATTCTGAACTTTGTCATTAGTTGTGTCAATGAAGATATTTCCTTCTTTCTCACACGGATTCTTACAAAGGAACTTCCTCTGTGCCTGGACAGCAGTGGCACATGGAAATGAGATTTCTTCTCCCTCACTCTGTGCACGGGAGACTCTAGAGTTTTTAGCAATTTCTGTTAAATAGATGAACATCCATGAATTATATAATAAATACATAAAGTGACTGAGTTTAAATAGGACTGTATTTGGCCTGAGAGTTTATGGAGGTATGAGAGTAGGTGATTGGTTTCCCAATTTTGACTTTAGTAACTTTTAGTAGAAACTCACCATTTGAAACTCTGACCTCAAAGTCTGAGTATGAATCTGGAGCTGAAGATTTACCCAAACCAAACCGGTACATTCCTGAGTCAGACTTTCTCATATTTGTGATGGTAAAAGTCAGGCTTCCTCTTCCTGAAGCTGCATCTTTGTATTTAATGCTGTATCTGCCGCTCTGAGCTGTGGTTTCATCTGTTTTAATGAGGATGTTTTCTGCTCGCTCACATTTTTCCTTGCAGAAGAACTTTGTGTTTCCAGACACAGTGAAAAGATTATAAAGTGAAAGATCCTCTCCTTCACGTACAACCCAAATGCTGGCAGACCCAGCTGTACCTGTTGGACAAGATTTTCACTGTGAATAGCCAGCTCGTTCTCAAAGCAAAACAAAAGAAAGAAAAAATATGATCTGTTGTGTATTTTCATCAGTACAACTTGTATAATAAAATATTTAGGGGGAAACTGATGGGAATATTGAGGTTACATAGAAAGGAAGCTTTAAATGTCATGAAGTAGGGCTGTGCGATATGACCAAATCTCATATCCCGATATAAGAATTCTATCGTCCCGATAACGATATAAATCACAAAAATGTAACATTTTCTGTAAATTCTGTGCAGCTCGTGCAGCTCGTCTTGCGGGAAGTGTTTCCAGCTGCGCGTCATGTAGCTGGAGCAGAGTGTTTTAACCAATGCATGAAACGATACATTTTTAGACAAAAGTTTTATAACGTTTTTTTCTTTTTTGTGAGTATTTATTGCACAGCGTTCTGCGGGGAAAAGCCTGTTCTAGCGTTTGAGTCTAAGGTTTATTTTTTAGCACCTGGCGGCTCTTTTTTAATTCTCATCCAATCTGCTCTTTCACGTGATTCAGTTTATTTTGAAAAGTCTCAACAGGATCTTGAGCTTTATTGTGAAAGGTTTGTGTGGAAAATAAACAAGGACACGCAATGGTGTTACCGTCATTGTTGCTAACCACAACGCATAAAAACAGGTGCTTGTCCGTCTGTAATGTGGTTATATTAAATGTAAGAGAAAGAGAGAACTTTAAGAAATTAATATAGCCACTACAGTGACCATGAAAACGATTAAAAAAAATATTGCCGCAAAGAGTTTATTTTGCGACACCACGAAATAAACGATAGCGTAAAATGAAACGTTAGACGTTTTTATATCATCATCCGATATATATTGAGGTTACATAGAAAGGAAGCTTTAAATGTCATGAAGTGTTGTGTGTGGCTGGCAGTTAGGTCAGGACTCAAATGTAACATTATCAGGCTGGACTGAACAACAGCTTCATTGCTGGAAATTAAAAATAACTTAATTCAACTTAACTGGCAGATACTCATGGATACAAACACTGCAGGCTCTAAACAAATGACGCACAGAGCAAGATGGAGATCAAAACAACAGACAGAGTAAGGCTGTGTCCCAATTAAGAGACTGCACGCTTGAAGTACGCGCACTACACGTACTACGTATGGTGCGTACTATAAGTACGAGAAGTGCGGAAGTGAGAGGCTTGTGAAATGGGACAGTATACGCATCGTCGCGCTGTTCAGGTTGCCTAGCAACCATGATACTAACCGCGAGACACGTTACATATAGCATTGTTTGACAGAAATGAAGGAGAAAAATGTTCTGTTGGTCATTCATTTTTGTCATGACATCACTTTGATTAGTTGAGTATCTGAGGCTGAGACTCTGAGGCTGAGGCTGAGGCTCCTCTCCTGCTCACCCTGGCCTCACTGATAAAACTGTAGTTAGGAGGGGTCGTCTCGATGAGAACAGCTCCACTGTTACTTTGGTCCAACCAAGTTTCAGTTAAAAACATAAAATCAAGGCTGTGCTCAGTGACTAAATCATTAATTAAAAATGTTTTCCCAGCTAAAGATCTAA